GTGAGGTGATGATGCGCCTGGATGGGGGACATGAAATAGCCTGCAGGACTTGGGAAATCAAATTTGAGCTCATTGTCTCCACTGCAACCCCCCGCCCCTCAACACTGCTGCCTCAACCACCGCAGGTCCCATGCCTGTCCTGTGTGTGTGCATTAGACCCAGAGTGTCTGAGGACAGGGCCTCTTTCCTTCTGTCCCCTCAGTGCCAGCGGCTTCCAGCTTCCTGAGGACCGCTCCCGTCCTTGCATCCTCATCGGACCCGGCACGGGCATCGCCCCCTTCCGCAGTTTCTGGCAGCAGCGACTCTATGAGGCTGAGCACAAGGGTATAACTGGAGGGCTCCCGGGGGTGGGAGGGGGCACCAGATGGTGCCCAGCACCTGCCTGGGAGTAGAACTGTAACTGTAACCATCTCACAGACATTTCCTGGCCCGTCTCCCAAGTTTACCTCAGCCTGTGTGGGAAAATGATATGAATGCCCCGGGCCTCAGTTTCCTCATCTGTAAAATAGGGACAGTACTATTTTCGATAGGATGTGGCAATGAAATGGGATTCCAGTTGGGCGCCCAGCTCAGCCCGCCTTGCAGCACGGTCTGCCCGCCCTCTGCTGGCCACCCTGGTAACTGCAACCTGCTCTGGGTCTTGCAGGGCTCCAGGGTGGCCGCATGACCCTCGTTTTCGGGTGCCGCCGCCCCGAAGAGGACCACCTCTACTGGGAGGAGATGCTGGAGATGGCCCGCAAGGGGGTGCTGCACGAGGTGCACACAGCCTATTCCCGCCTGCCTGACCAGCCCAAGGTAAATGCCACAACTGTGCGTGTAGAAAGGGTGGAGCATTAAAAGAACAGACTGTGGCGGGTGTCTGGCTCCCCACAAGCCCCTTACCTCTGTGAGCCTTCACCTCCTCAGCTCCAAAATAGAGGCAAGGGACTTGCCTGGTGGTCTAGGGACTGAGACTCTGTGCTCCCAACGCAGGGGACCCGAGTTCGATCCCTGGTCAGGGAACTAGATCCCGCATCATGCAACTAAAGATTCTGCATGCTGAAACAAAGACCCAGTGCAGCCAAGCAAATAAATATTTAAAAATAAAATGGAAGCAATTATACAGTCACCGGAGCGGTGCTGTGAAGCTACTGATAGTATATTCACTCTTCCAGAAGAGACGGGTCCTGAGACGGTCAGGGCTAAGTCAGGGTCATGTATGGGTTCATCCCCAGTGCCCAGCCTGCTGAAGGCTCCCCCCTCTGGATGTACAACTGTTGGGGGGGTGGTGGCCCAGGCACTGCAAGGCTTGAGGATGGCCTGCTGACCCACTCTGCTGTCCCAGTGGGACAGCAGTCAGAACAGTCTGCTGTTCTTTTCAGACTTTGCCCCAAGAGCCTGCGCAGTCAGAACAGTCTCTTGGCTCAGCCTTTGTGAACTTGTCCCTTTGGGCCCCTCCCACGCTGGTACTCCATGCCTGGTGGCATCACTTGTGTGAAGCAAGAGCAGAGAGCCCCGGTTGACTCCAGGACTTCTGAATATCTGGGGAACCCTGCTCTGAATTAAGAGGAGGGTCCCCTGGGCAGTCTGCACTGAGAGACTCCCTTTTCTGGGGTGTAAGCAGATGGGCCTCAGAGCCCTGGGCAGGGCAAGTGGCTTGATTGATGCCTCTTTGAAGTGTGCTAAATTCAGAGCAAGTGTGCTAAATCTGGGAGCTCCCCTGGAGGCCAGCTCCTCAAGGGCAGGGCTGCGGCCGGTACTCACCTCTCCAGCCCCAGCCCAGGCCTGGGCCAGGCAGGGCGCCAGTGCACCTCCTCCTCCCGGCCTTGATCATCTTCCCTGGCCGGGAGGGTGCTCACTCCATGGCCCCCTGTGCCCTCTCCCTGCCTCCCTGTGGCCAGGAGGCCTGACCACAGCCTTTGCCCTCAACGGCAGGGGCCTGGACCCACCATCTCCTCTGGTTTCAGGTCTATGTTCAAGACATCCTGCGGCAGCGGCTGGCAGGCGAGGTGCTTCGTGTGCTCCATGAGGAGCAAGGCCACCTCTATGTCTGCGGGGACGTGCGTATGGCCCGGGACGTGGCCTGCACCCTGAAGCAGCTGGTAGCTACCGCGCTGAGCCTGAACGAGGAGCAGGTGGAGGACTATTTTTTCAAGCTCAAGGTAGGGCTGCTGGTGGTGTGTGGGCTCAGGATGCAGGTCACGGGCACGGGCCTGGGAGCCAGGACCAGGGAACTCAGGCTCAGACTGAACTCAAAGGAATCCTAGAGAGGGCGGGAGGTCAGAGCTGGGGTGGGCTGTTAGAAGGCCTGGCTTGTCCATCCTGATCTGGTTGCTCAGTTGGACAAAGGCAAACATGTTGATTTTCTGCAAGACAGTCTGAGCCCCTAACACGCTGCTGTGCATCAAAGAGCTTGAAGACTCGGAGACAGTGCACAGCATTTCCCAACCATATTTATCTCAGAGCCCACAGTTCCTGGAGCCCCGTGGGACAAGCACACGGCAGGCTTTGTTGTTGTTCAGTCGCTCAGTCATGTCCGACTGTTTGCGACCCCGTGGACTGCAGCACGCCAGGCCTTTCTGTCCTTCACCATCTCCTGGAGCTTGCTCAAACTCATGCTCATTGAGTCAATGATGCCATGCAATCATCTCGCCCTCTGTCATCCTCTCCCCCTCCTGCCTTCTATCTTTCCCGGCATGAGGGTCTTTTCTAATGAATAGGCTTTAATGGCTGTCATAAAGCTTGGGGAGATGTTTTGTGGTCCACACCAGAGTGGGTGCTCATGGGAGTTAAAGAGTCTTATATGAGATTCAAATCTAATCTAAGCATGGCAATTGGGAAGGCAAATAGTTCACGAGTGTCCGTGTGATGGGGAAACCAGGGAACCCTGGGGGCTGGCCCCAACCTGGACCTGCTGAGTGAGAGGGCGCTGCACCAACAGAGCTGATATTAATACCTTGGTCTCTGTTTTCCCTTAAAGAGCCAGAAGCGCTATCATGAAGACATCTTTGGTGCTGTATTTCCCTATGAGGTGAAAAAGGATGAGGCAGCAGGGCTGCCCAGTGATCCCAGAGCTCCAGGCACCCATATGAGAAGTTAAAGCTGCTGGCATGGAACTTAATGATGACCCCCACTCTTGATTATCTGAGGTCACAGGACTGGGGCGATTGGAGGGAGATTATATCCCCAAGCTTCACATCTTATTTCCCCAACTCCTTCCCTCTCAAACCCTTTACTTGACCTGCTACCAAGTAGCAGCCTTGGAGACAGAGTGTAACCTTTTGTCTCTCTTGAGCCCCTGCTCCGGGGTGATGGAGAGACAGGCCTTCCTGGTGCCTTGGAGACTAAGCCTGCAGTGCCATGTCTGGCCAGGGGGTGAGAAAGATGGAACTTCCTGGAGTGCACCACTTGGAGTGACCACTAGGAGGAGCTGTCACGCCACTCTGTATTTAGCTGCCCATGTACAGTTATTTATACCTCTGTATTTAAAACAAGCAAACCCCAATCTGCCTCTTGGGCCTTCTTTGTATGATTACATGATGGAGATATTTATACGAAATACATTTTATTTTAACCACACTGTATATGTATATGTGTGTTTTGTAAGGAAAGCAGCCTTAAGCTGTACAGAGTTAGGATTGGGGTGGTGGTGGTGGGGCTGCCACAGCTTGGACAAAAGTCCCCCACAAAGGGACATACCAGCTCAGCTACGTTGCTTCTCTGAAATGCCCACTGGGCCTGGGGGCAGCACATGAAGTTTTGTGCACTTCTGAAAACCTGTGATGACGGTGAGGAAGCACAGGATGGTCTGAGGGCACCAGCTAGCTGAGCCCTGCACGGGAAGCATCGCACATGGGGTGTCGCGGAGACACGAGTTGCCAGTCCTTTAGTGAAGGCCTGCCCCACAGTCCGTCTTGGGAGTCACCACCTTCTGCTCTGGGGCTGCCTGTTTCATGACAGTTTGGCCAATAATGATTTGGCCCGAGTGACAAAGCAGGTGAGGCTGGGCTACGTGTCAAGGACTTGATGGTGAGTGAAGGACACACTTCTTCCACAGGGAAGGCTTCTTCAGGGACTGAGCCGGGGGGGAATAAGGAAGGAACTCGGCCAGGGGCTAAGTGGAGGGTTGGCTAAATCTGGCTCCCAGCCTGGGTTTGGACCCTTGTTACCTTGGCTCCTTGGCCCCCTTCTTCCCTCCCCCACTCCTGCTCAGATGGGGTGGCCGGGTGGTGGGGAGGTGGAGAAGGGGCACACCACCAGTGTCCCAGCAATGCATCTGTACAACGTGGCCAAGGACAGTCCCCTGGACCAGCGCCTCTCCCACCCCAGCCAGCAGGAGACCACCAGGGCTCTTGTTACATCGCAGACTGAGGAGGTCTGCAGCAGACCCAGATTCTGTGTTTCTAAGGAGCCCCCAGGTGCTGCTGGTCCGAGCCCACCCCGGTTCCCGAGGACTGGATTCTTGGAGTTAGCGGGGTGTGCTGGCGTCATGGAGACACACAGTTGGGTCCCCCGGCACTGGCTCTGTGACCGGCAGAACCCCTACACTGAGTCTTTTCCCACTCCCCACACACACTGACCCCCGATGCCGGGGCACCCACAGCAGAACCACACACACAGGCTTCTCTTCTGAGCCAGCTTCTGCGGAGCTCACCGGCCCCCTCCTCCCATCGGGACCCAGGGTTCTGCTGAACTGGCCCTGCCGTGTGGCTGCCGGGCCCAGCCCTTGGCCCATTTCAGAAGCATGGAGCCATTGGTTTTCTGGGCTTCATCTCTGTCACCAAACTCCCAGCAAAGATTCCCGTCCAGAGGGGGGCCTGAGCTTTCTCTCACACCCTTGTGGGGTGGGTGGGGGACCCGCTGGGAGCAGGCTCCAATGTCAGGAAGCCCCCTGATCAAAGTGAGCCAGTGAAATCTCCTCCTCCTTCCCTCAGCCAGGATCTTCCCAATTCCGGAGACAACAAAATGTCTCCAGATTCATTTAGTAAACCACAACTATCCCATGCACATGTACCAACAAGTCTTTTTCTCTCTTTCTTTATTCGAAGGACACTGGGAAAAGGGACAGCCCCCTGCTGAGAAGGTCCCGGTCCATTAGTGGGGGCCACGGGGGTGTCAGCAGGGTAGATTGAACAGAGTGGGGACAGGGTCAAGGTTGGAGAAAGGGGAGGGGTCGAGGATACTGCTTCCCACATGGAGTGACAGCTGGCACTCGGACTAGGTGAACTTGAATGGGGGATGGGAATGTGGTTTCGAGGCAGGTGGGGCTGCAGGCCTGGAGCCTGGGAAGGCCAGGACCCTCCCTTTCTGCCACAGGAACTGAACAGGCCCTTCTGCCTGTGGACCACCCGTCTTCTGCAGGCTCTGGGTGCTGCCCAGTCCTGGCCAGCGGCCCTCTCCGCTCAGCGCTGGCTGCAGCCAGGAACAGAGCCGGTCAAGGTTGTGGTCTCTCCAGCAAAGCCCCCAGATCCTGGGCAGGCTGGGGCTGGGGCTGGGGCTGGGGCAGGGACGATGTGGGTGGTGAGCAGATCCAGACAGCAACATAGGGTGGGGCTGGTCTATGTCTGCACGTGGGTCAGCTGGATGTCGCCCCCCACCTCCAGGTTGTTGATGGCGGTCAGGTTCTTCAGGCGGTGGTGGTATTCAAACAGGTGCTGACCATCCACGGCCACCCTGAAGCAGTGGCCTTCACACATGATCCACACCTGCACAGACAGGCCCCCTAGCATTTATTTGCACCCCACCTGGGCTGTCCTCAAGCGGAAGGCAGGCTAGTCTCCCTCCCTCCTTCCCACCTTCCACAAACTTCAGTCAAGCAAGACCCACACCTGCATTTGAGCCACACCGAAGGATTCACTCTTGCCCAAACATGCCTCGCACTCTCCTTCCCAGCACCTTTTACACATTCTGTTCCCTGCCTCGCACCCCCACCCAGAATGTCGTTGCTCCCCACTCTGCACACCTTGTCCACATGGATCACTGCTAATCCCTCTTCAGGACTCACCCTCCTCCCTCCAACCAGCCTTCCCAGCCTTCCCGCACCTCCTGTGTGTTCACAGTCGCTTAGTCGTGTCTGATTCTTTGCGACCCTTTGGACTTGAGCCTGCCAGGCTCCTCAGTCCATGGGATTCACCAGGCAAGACTACTGGAGTGGGTCACCATTTCCTTCTCCAGGGGAATCTTCCCAACCCAGGGATTGAACCCACATCTCCTATGTCTCCTGCACTGGCAGGCAGATTCTTTACCTGCAGAGCTATCGGGGAAGCTCCCCACCTCCTGACCCCCATCGAGTAGTCAGATGCCCCCTTAGGCCTGGCCTCTGTCATCCATACCCCTAGGACCCAGCACACAGGCTTGGTCAGTGCTTGGGTTCCTGCTGCGGCAGCCCCTTAACTTGTCTTTTCCTTCCCAACATCCTCCAAGCGGCAGCAGCAATACTTCTGTGAAACTATCACCGTGCCCACCGCACAGTAACACCAGCAGAGCGGTCCCTGCACACCAGGCACTGTCCTAAGCGTGTCACAAACACGATCTCATTGCCTTCTTGCTTCTCCAGGAGATTGGTGTTACTTGTAGTCCCATATTTTAGATAAGGAAATTGAGGCACAGAGCAGTTAGGTCACTTGCCTAAGGTCACACAGCTATCAAAGGGTACTGCTTTCTGGCTTGCAACACACCAACACCTGGTACTAAAATCCAACCTCCTTTGCTATGGCCCACAAGGCCCTCTATCGGTCATCTTCAACTCTGGGAGGAGTATTAGGGCATATTTAAAAGCACAGATGGGGCTTCCCTGGTGGGCCAGTGGTTAAGAATCCACCTGCCAATGCAGGGGACCCCAGTCTGGTCCCTGGTCTGAAAAGATTCCATGTGTCACAGAGCAACTGAGCCCAGGTGCCACAACTACTGAGCCCACAGCTGCAACAAGAGAAGCCACTGCAACGAGCAGCCCATGCATTGCGGCTAGAGTGTACACCTCCCTGTCCTCCCTGCTTCCTAGACAGGCGGTGCCCATGACCCTTCCCTCTGCTGCCCCTAATCTTTCCAAGCTGGGCTCCCCCCACCGCTAAGGTCCCACATGCACTGTGGCCTCCTCTGAGACCTCCCCCACCTAAGGCCACATGACCCTGGGGTTCACTTGTTCCCTATCCTACTTTGCTCTCCACGTGGAACCCATTGCTATTTCACAGTGATCTGTCCTTCTTTCACCTCCCACCTCGACTGTAAACTCCGTGGGGTCAGGACCTAGACCGCTGGCATCATAGCTCCTCCCAGCACCTAGGGTACTTCCTGCTCAAAGTGGACCTGGATGAAACAGCTGATAAATGACTGTTGAATGAGTGAGTGAATGAATGACACCTCCCATCCTGCACTGATTGGCTGTGTGACCTTAGCAAGTAATCTACACTTGTGAATTAGTTTCCTTATCTGTAACAGCCGATAGTACCTGCCCCCTGCCTTATGCAGGACAGTAACAGTAAAATGATAATAGCAGTCATTTGGTGAACACTTTCTCTTCTTCTGAGGCCAGGCCTCAGGCTAGAGGCATCAGCTCTTGTCTCGATCAATGTGCCCCCAGATGCCCTCCACCACGCCTCCATTTGCCCCTTGAGAGCCCGTTCGAGCTCCAGGTGGCGACATCTCACCGAGAAGCTCTGGCCTCGGAAGAAGGGCATCCCTCGCGGCAGGCTTCGCTCTTCAGGCCCCCAGGAGCCGTTGATCTGCGTGTTGCGGACCACGGCGTTCTCGTCGAAGCGGGGGTTCAGGTGGAAGGCGATGTCACTCCCTGAGCGCAGGTTGATGCAGAACCTGGGGGGCGGGCCACTCCCATGGACTCTGCCCCGAGGCAGAGGGGTGGCCAGAATGACCTTGGGGTGTCTCTTCTCCCCGGGAGCCCTGGCTTACCTCTGAGCACTGGGCAGGATGGTGCCCGACACCAGGATGCTCTTGGAGGGGTACAGCCCACCCAGGATGGAGGTGAAGAAAGGCAGTTGCTGTGGGGAGGGGGTGGGGCAGGTCAGCCAGCAGCAGCCAGAGCAGCTGCCACCCTAGGGGGACCTTTGTGCCAATTTCTATGCATCTGGACTGTCAGCCCACCGTCTGCTGTGTCTGTGAGTGTCTTCAAGAAAGAACTCCATGGTATCTTTACTTGGTTCAGTAAATGGCAAAGAAAACCTTTCTAGCATTCCTCAAATTAATGGACATTTACCTTCAGGAAAAGAGCTTTGGTTGGATGCAAAGGATGCTCAGGCTGAGAAGGGGAGGCTGTATGATATGCTCAGGGTGAAGGGACGATTTTAAAGGTGAAAGTTCCTTTTGTAAGTCTTCTAAGTTACTCGGAAGTTTCCAGAACTTCCGTTTACTAAAGCACTGCTTTTAATTTTGTAAGCTGCGCTCTCTCCCTCCCCTCAACCCTGCACAGCACAAACCAGACCACCCCTCCTCCCAGAGAAACCACTTACGTAAACCGGGTTGGGATACACCACGGGTGGGATCACGGGATTCTGTACAAACGAGATTGAGAACGTAAGGGCGGGAGTGCGCACCCTCGCGTACGCATACCTTCTCGTGAGACTGCATGTTCTAGAGCGGATGCTCCAAGAGGAGACGTAAGTAGCAAAGGGTTCAGCCCTTGGGTTTTCCCAGCCACCTTCCTCCCCATGTCAGCCTTGGTGGGACTTCCTGTCTTGTTCCTGGATCCCATCATGGTCACCTGCCCCTCAGCCCCTCCAGGGACAGCCCCGCTGACTCCGGGTCCCTGTGCGCATGTCCCGGCAAGAGGCGGTGGCGGAGAAGCAGTCTACGCCCGTGATCAGCAGTGATAGACATGCCAGGGACTCCTCTTCTGGATGCAGGGTCTTGTATCCAGCTACTGGGAGCATTGCGCGCCACCCCCACCCCCCACCCCAGTGATAGAAGGACCGGTTTTCCTGCCGGCCCCTAGGGGATCTATTTCTTGCTACGCTGGATGAATCCAGCCTGATCCAGAATCTGCCGTCTCTAAGGAGAGTTTTGTGTGCATGTCCCCTGAGCGAAGGGCCTCAGCCCCAAATGTCCCCACCCTCCTTGCTAAACTGCTTTCTTCCTGACCCTGGACCTAGAGAATTCAGCCTTTGGTGAAGGGGCACGGAGTAGGGCTGTGAGCTGACCAGAGTGTTCAGACTTACAGGGAACATCTGTCCAGGGGTGCTGTGTATGGTGTGGATGACGGTCTGAGTCTGGAAGGAAGAAACCACGTTTTTAACCAGCTCTCACCTGTGCGAGAACCACCACCTGCCCCCAGAGGTGGCCCTTAACACTTAATTCTCTCCTCTTAGGAGAGTTTCATCTTGAGCTTGTAACCAGCCAGAAGGTACCTCCAAATTGGTGGGTAGAGGTATTTCTTCTCTTAAGGGGATGAAACAGGGGCAAAGGTTTCTTCTGAGAAGAAATAAGGCTGCATTTGTGGCATGTGGCCTTTCTTAGGGGAATCACTCCAGCATAGCCTCACTTTGCAGAAGGAAGAAGTGGAAGCGGGGCCTTGGTGTCCTGCGGCTGCCCACAGACTGCAGGGGCCTGAGCAAACCAGTGGCCCTCGGGGCTGCTTCCCAATTCATCAGGGCCAGCCACCTCCCCCCACACCCCAGACCCTCCCACTGTTACCACCACAGCCGGGCAGACGGTCCCGGGCCCTGGCCTTGGGGTCTCCACGTTCCAGCGGGAGAAGCCTGCTGTTTGACTCTGCTCCCTCCTTTAAAACTACCACCCAGGGACTGAACCCTGGTCTCCTGCATTGCAGGCAGATTCTTTACCTTCTGAGCCACCAGGGAAGCTCTCTTTTAACCCACAGGAAGAAACAAAGGGAAGAGCGTCTAAAGAGAGAGCAGGAGACTTACAATGGGAGCCGAGTTGGCTGGCCAGCTCCCTGGAGGCTGAAGGGGATGAGAAACGAAAATGGTGGTTAACATTGGTGCCGCGTGAGGGTAAGATGGCGGCGAGAGCTGTGGTAAGAAATGCCGCCTTCCTGCTGCCAAGCAAGCCTTTCTGAGCCTTCTCGGCGCCCAGATTCTCACCCTCCCCCGCCAGGATACACTGTGGTTATGCAACAGTGTCGGGGAGGGTTTGGAAGTGGAGGAGGGGGAACTTTCCTGCTGGCTCCTTCAGAAGGGGAAAGTGAAAATGTTAGTCACTCAGATGTTTCTGATTCTTTGTGACCCCATGGACAGTAGCCCGCCAGGTTCTTCTTTCCATGGGATTCTCCAGGCAAGAATACTGGAGTGGGTTGCCATGCCCTTCTCCAGGAGATCCTCCCGACCCGGGGATTGAGCCCGAGTCTCCTGCATTGCAGGTAGATTCTTTATCCTCTGAGCCACCAGGGACGCCCTCAGAAGGAGAGGAGGCCATATCTGATACAGACCATTTCGCTTCCTTTAGCTCCCTGAGACAAAACCATCATTCCCGGTGCCCTAATTCACCCATATGGTGAACACCCACACCATAAGCCAGGCTCTGGCTTCAGGGTTTACAAATGAGAGAGGCATCCTTACCTCCTGTTTTGCTGGTGGGGCAACCAGTTCTCAGAAAAATTAGGCAACTTGCCCAGACTCACCCAGATAGCAAGAGATCAAATCGAAAATGGTACCCAGTTCTTCTGATAGTAAATGGATCATAGCCCGCCAGACCCCCTCTGTCCATGGGATTCTCCAGGCAAGAATACTGGAGTGGGTTGCCATTTCCTCCTCCAGGGGATCTTCCCGACCCGGGGATTGAGCCCGAGTCTCCTGCATTGCAGGCAGATTCTTTATCCTCTGAGCCACCAGGGATGCCCTCAGAAGGAGAGGAGGCCATATCTGATACAGACCATTTCGATTCCTTTAGCTCCCTGAGACAAAACCATCATTCCCAGTGCCCTAATTCACCCATATGGTGAACACCCACACCACAAGCCAGGCTCTGGCTTCAGGGCTTTACAAATGAGAGAGGCATCCTTACCTCCTGTTTTGCTGGTGAGGCAACCAGTTCTCAGAAAAATTAGGCAACTTGCCCAGACTCACCCAGATAGCAAGAGATCAAATCGAAAATGGTACCCAGTTCTTCTGATAGTATCCATCACGCCCCTCCTCCCCAGGCCAGGGCCAGAGTCAGGCTGCCCTGCAAAGGCTCCCTGGCGCTCTACCAGTCCTGGGTCCACACGGCAGGAAGCAGGTATCCTGGCTGCACCGTGATGGGCGTGGGAAGGGCTGGGTAGAGAGACCCCTCTCCCCTCAGGTGGCCGAGGAAAGGGCAGGCCCTGCTCCCCTTCCTGTCTGGGACCCTGCCTTCACCCAGCAGACTGTTCCTCTTGCAAACCTATTCCACATTCATTAACTGAGTCCCTACTGCATGCCAGGCGCTGTGGAAAATGCTGGGATACACGACTGAACCAGCTACAGCCCGAGCCCACAGAGGGCCCGGTGTGTGTAGGGAAGCAGGGGAGGGGAGTGGTGGAGAGACATACATAAGCACAATTATAGCAGGACGTGATGTCTGACGTGGCACAGAGTTATCGAGAGTCTATAGGGATGCAGGGGCATCCAGTGATCCACCAATCAGGGACGCTGCTCCACAGGAGCCACACTTAAGGAGAGCTTCGAAGGGCCATTCAGGGTCGGCTGGGGGTGAGTGGCAGGGCATGCTTTCAGCACAGGGGCATCACGTGCCGAAAGCATGGTGGCCCGAGACTGCCCCTCGTGAGTAATGGAGGTCGCGTGAGCTTCATGGGTGAGGCCGGCAGGGAGGCTGGGGCAAGCCTGGGGAGGATTCTGCATATTCTGTTGGGGAATCTGGGCTTTCTCTAGAAGGACTTGCGGCCTTTAGGACTTTAAAGCAGGGGGAAGATGCAATCGGATTTGTATGTGGGAACAAACAGTGGTGGTGGGTGGGTGTGTGGGGGTGGAGAAGCAGACCATGGATGGGTGATGAGGGGACAGATGGTCTGGACTGAGCCAGGGGCTTTGGGAGGAGAGGCGCTGGTGCCCTGGAGAGATAATGACAGACGGAAGAGCTGAGGACAACTCCCAGGTCCCCAGCTCTGGGCTGGGGGGTATGGATGGAACTTTGGGCATACTGGGGCCTGGAGACCCTGGCTGGCCTGCTGACTAGACCAGCCTCAGACACTCTGTCCTTCGTGCTGACGCTCAGCCTCCCCAGGCCTCTGTTAAACTCACTTTTGATTTGCGCCCCCTGGGCCTGGGTGGGAAACAGGCAGCTGGGGAAAACTGCACCATGGAGCAGGCGGGCTGCTTGGGAGCTGCGTGGATGTTCTGTTAAAACAAAAGGCGCCATGGGGTGAAGAGAAGCATTAATGGAGCCAAGGAAGAGTGGAAAAGCAGGGGCCAGGCAGGGAGGAGAGAACCAGGCAGGTGGGGGAGCAAGGGATGCGCAGGACAGGCAGAGGGAAGGTTGGGCTGCAGTGAGTGACATTAGGCTGGTCAGCGCTCTCTCCACCTCCATCCCTCTCTCCATGTCTCTTTACCTCCATCTGTCTCTCTACCTCTGTCTCTCCCCACCTACATCTCTCTCTCCACCTCTGCCTCTCCCCACCTCCATCTCTCTCTCCATCTCTCTCCCCACCTCCATCTCTCTCTCTCCCTTCATCTCTCCATCTTCACCTCCATCTCTCTTTCCATCCCTGTCTCTCTTCACCTCTCTTTCCACTTCCTGTCTCCACCTGCATCTCCATCTCTCTGTCTCTCTCTCCACCTCCATCTCTCTCTCCATCTCCACCTTTCTCTCCTCTCTCCTCCACCCCCGTGGAAGCGAGTTAAGGAGGGAAGGAATATGAAAGATGAAGACCAAAGAAGAGGCCCCTGTACTTGTGGAGGGTCTGCTGCGTGCCTTTCCCGTCTCAAGGTGCATGCACAGACGCCAGAGTGCTGACAACAGCTCCCAGTGAGGAGCCCGAGGCCCTTACAGAACGTGGGCCCACAGTACCCCAGTCTTCCCAGTTTTCACACAAAAACAGAAATCCAGATTTCCATGTGCTACTACCAGACCTTTTTTCTGCTCCTGTGGCAGAATGCACATCCCATAGAACAGACCATCTTAACTACTTAAGTGTGTGGGTCAGTGGTGTTAGGGTGACTTCTGCAGTTGTGCAACCATCCCCACCATCCAACTCCGGAACTCTTTCATCTTGTAAAACTGCCCTTGACCTTTTAGATGTTGGTTACATGTTAAAAATTTCAAAATGCAGAGAAGATCAAATAGACCTGGGAGTGGCCCAGCAGGCTGTTCTGTGCCCTCAGTGGGTGTGACCTCATTGAGCTGACCGAGCGACCCGTGGGGCAACAGACCCTGCTCACTCCACAACTGAGGAAACTGAGGCTGGGAGAGGTGAAGTCACTTGTCTAAGATCCTGCAACCGATGAGAATGGCAGAGCTGGGGATTTGAGCTGGATTCAGTTTGATTCCCAAGCCCGGGTTCTTTCTACCACCACACGGCCTCCTAAGCAGAGTGGGGATAGAAAGTAACAGAGACGAGTGGCATCTGAGTCCAGAAGACTGAGCGGGTGTCCCAGATAGAGACAGCAATACAAGAAGGAGGGGAAGGGAGCCAGGGGTGTGTCCCCAGAGTCGCCTGCAAAGGGGACTGGCCGGCACTTTGGGTCCACACAGCAGGGCCCAGGCACAGTGAACTGGGCCCCACACCCAGCCCCTGGGGATGAGTGCTGGGTGGACAGTCTGACCTGGAAGCTGATGGAGGACAGCTTCACGATGCCCGTGATGCAGATGGTGTCGACTCGGTGGAAGGGCACGCGGTGGGCATACTGCATGAAGAGGTTCCCGTTCACGGTCACCTGCCGAGAGACGTGCATGTGGCAGGAGGGGGACCCCAGCCAGGTGGGAGCACACCTGAGCCTCTGGGACCCCTGCTTCTAGAAGTTGAGACCTGCATCTAGTTTTCACATTTATTCCCTGTAGATCTGGGCATCAGCCTTCAGAAATGTGCCAGTCACAGGAACATGCTTGAGACTCAGAGGGCATCCAAACACTATCTCTGTCTGGCTCTAGCCATTGCTTTTTCATTCTTCTGGCTGTTTTTATTGCAGTAGGTTTGTCTTTCTGATCATAGCTCACCTGGGGCATTATTGAAATATGCATATTGAAATATACATACAAATATTGGTGGGGAGCAGAGGAGAGGGGACATCAGTTTATGTGACAAGGGGGTGGTGACATTTGTGTTCACACAGAGAAGCACAGACACAGATGGACTCACCCCCACCCCAGCCTGCTTCCCGAGCCCAGAGACACTGCTCTGCTTGCAAAAGCAAGGTGCAGTGTCCTGCAAAACCAAGTCATTAATAACACCTGGATAAAGGCAGCAACAAGGTAACAGGAAAAGAAATGTTCCCAGGGACCTGGAGTGGAAGAAGGACTACAACAGAGAAATGGAAATAACTTGGACTGTAAAGACACCAGGAGGCCAAAAAGCGCCATGGTGACTTCTCTAGTGCTTATTTCTGGAGTAAAAGAAGCAACAGGTACACTTGTAGATGCAGGTGAAGGTGTGTAAGGGGGCTGCAGCCTTACAAGGAAATGATCCTCTTCTCTGTACAAAGGTGTTGCTCACGTGACTATTTTAAGACCATACATGGCGCCTGATTGAGCCAGGGGACAGGCAGCTGAAGGGACAAGAGAAGAGTTCCAACTCACCTTGAACTCCGAGCTCTGTACATGGAAGCAGAGCTCAAACGAACTCCCCCTGTGGAAGGGAATCTGCATCTTCCTTTCCTCCGGCCCCCAGCTTCCTCTCTGCTTCGTGTTGCAGACCACATACCCACCCTCTTCAAACCGTGGATTGAAGTGGAAGGCAATGTCATTGTCATTATAGCCGGTCTGAAAGTTCACAGCAAACCTAGATGGAGGGAAATCAGGCAGCGCATGGTGTCCTGGTTTACTCCCAAGGGTGGGAACAGGAAGTTCTCAAGCTTTTGACTGACATCCGTCTGGGAATCTGGGTACAGCCTGCATGGCTGTTTGGTACCCACCCCTAGTCTGCTGCTGTCTGTTTTGTTCACCTAATTTGCACTAATGTCTTTTTGTTCAGTTACCACATTTTGCCCTTACAGTGTGAATTTCTATGGGTAGAGAAATTTGTATCCAAGTTGGAACTCGAAAAATGTGCCTGGAAGTGAGAGCCTTTTGGACAAGTGGTCGCCGAGGCCTGCTCACGTCCATTAAGCTGGGACAGAGGACAAATGGAAAGAACAGGTGACACTGATGGGACACCTACAGGGATGGTGTCTAAAGGGGAGACCCAGAATAAACGCTAGCTCTCCGGGCGTGGGGACCTCAGTGTGTGTCTGTCCCTCAGTGGAGGCTGTCATGTGTCCACCTGCCCCCAGTGAGGTCAGCAGGCCTGGGCCCTGACCCCTGACAATGCCCTGTTTGTCACTTGCGATGACCGAGACCACACTACTCAAGCTGCCCCACCCAGGAAAGGGGCGACTGCCTCCCTTCGGGGATGATGACCAAGGCGGCCCGGGGATGCCAAGTGAGTGATTCTTTGTTCCCATCTCTCCTCACCTTCTCAACTTCCTCTGGGTACAGCCATGACTCTAAGGTGAGGGCTAAAATAAAAAAGGAGCTTCCACGGGGCCTGGCTCATGAAGGGAGTGCAGTTGATGCTTGTTCTGACTTTTCCCAGATGGAATTCTTGCATGTCCCCAAACCAAGTTCCTGTCTGAGGTTCTTCCAGCAAGAAGTCTGTCCCACCACCTTGCCCGAACTCAGAACCAGTGCAGTTCACAGCCTGCTTCTCAGAGTCACTCTGGTCTCCCCAACAAACACACAGCAGTCAGAGAGCGCGCCTCGCTCCCGCGTCATCCCCACAGAGCCCGGCGCTGCGGCACACCCATGGGCGGCCCTCAGCGGACATTCTATCTGCAGGGCCCATTTTTGGTTTCTTCGTTGTTTGGGCTGTGCAGCGTGGCCTGCAGGATCTTAGTTCCTCAGCTAAGGCTGGAACCCTTGCCCCCTGCAGTGGAAGCGTGGAGTGGTGCCCACCTGCCTTCCAGGGAAACCCTGAGAACCCATTTGCTTTATCAGTTACGGGGGTGAGTTTGGGATGCAGTCCTCAGTACTAAGGTGCTTGGTGAGCTCTCAGCCAGCAAGACAGCAGAACTGGCTGGGACCTGAGCCCTCGGTGCGCCCTCCGGGAACACCAAAAGGAAACGATGTTCCAAGTGATTCGAGAATTAGAAAATCGAAGTCCCTGTTCCTCTTAAAGTGAAGAATAGTGTTTCTGAAATATCTGGGTGTAATTTTCCCTTTGCCACCCTCCAGCTTCTTGGCTGTGTTCCTTTGAAAATTTCACCCCAGGGAAGGAGAGAACAGCAGCTCCTGTCGGAAGGGGGACCCTCAGAGGTAGAGACAGGCTCTATTAGACAGAGTGGGAGTAGAAGGCCCTGCTGTGATGGGAGGAAGGGTCGGCACAGGGAGGGGAGAGAGAGGGGTGGGGGTTCAGAGTCAAGGTTCCCGATTCCCCTGCTGGGACAGTTTCTGGGAAACCGAGTGTCTCACTTCCCTCTGAGGCCCCTGGGGGCACTGCAGACTCTCAGAGTCCCATGGTTAGTAGAACTGTGTCACCGGGCAGGGGAGGAAGTCATCTGGAGGCTCCTGAGAGAGGTCACGTGTCCAGAGGGGCCTCGGTGTACACTGTGGATCTCAGGGTGCAGCCCACCTGGACCCCACCCACACGGGCACAGGTTGTAGGCCTCTGGGTCAGCTGGCCCTCGGCAGGGGTCAGTCAGGGCTGCTTGAGCAACTGATGACACGCCTGCCTCTGAGAATTTGTGCAAGCTCTTATCTGTTCCCAGACAGCCCACCTCGGGAAGGAGGGGGATGGGAAACAGCGCTGAGATATTTATATTTTGAATTGGCTTTAGCAGCAACGACCTTGAAACTGAGAGACCAAACTGCAACCTTGAAGGCAAGTTTAAATATTTCCACATCAGCCCACATGAGGGTTCTGAAGTAGATGCAAGTGACTGTAGGAAATGGAGGAAGTTGACGGATCTGCAGCTCTGGGTCATTGTGTACGAGGTTCAGTCCCAGAACTCCGCCTCTGGGCTGGCCTGCTTCCCTCCCTAACCGTGAGCCTCCATCCCCCGCTGTCTCTGGGGAGTCTGCTTAATGGTGCCCTGGATGCTATGTGCAGGTGCCCGGGGTCTCATGCATTGTTGGCAGGGCCAAGCCCTTCCCACCCCCTGAGCCAGGTGAGGATGCTTGGAGGATGCTGGGTGGACCCTCCTGAGCTGACAGAGCTGTGGTTCACTGAGGGGTGAGGCTGAGAGAGATGCTTGCCGGTACCTGTTCCCGCCTGAGGGAAGAACGACCCCAATGACGGCGATCTTGTGTCCATCCTGGAGACCCCCTTGGATCATCCCAGTGAAGGGGACCACCTGCAGGGAAGAGATGGTGGTCAGTGTCCCCTGCTTCCTTCTCTCCACACTAGAGAAAGCCCACACACAACCCAGTGCAGACATAAAAAGGTTTTAATAAAACAAATAAATAAAGGATCCATGGTTCTGGTGAAGAGGCTTCATTTTAGAGCCAGGCATCCTCCAGGTTTGAATCCTGATCTGCTGTTCGTTAACCTGAGTGGTCTTGGGAAGCTTACTTAACTTCTCTTTGCCTCAGTTTCCTCATTTGTGATATAGGGATAAACCCCACTTTTAGGGTGAGATTCATGATTGAGTGAGAAAGTCTGTGGAAGATTCCACCATGTAATGTAGCAGGTTGTCTCTCTACTGCTTGCCCCACCCCCACCCCCCACGCTTCCACCTTGGTCTCTGAGAAAAATTCCTAAATTGGATACAATTCAGCTTTCGAGGCTTCCTTCCAAATGCCTAATTGGATTCTACAAATTGCCTTATACACAGTACAGTCTCCTAGTCAATTTTCACGTTTTTCAAGCTGTTGAAGTCTTGTCTACCTTTTCCTTTAAGTCAGTTCCCTACAAAAATTAAATGCTTATTTAAAATGGATAATCAACAAAGACCTACTGTATAGCACAGGTAACTCTGCTCAATGATATGGAGCAACCTAAATGGGAAAAGAATTTGGAAAAGAATAGATGCATATATATGTATAAAGAATCACTTTGCTGTACATCTGAAACTAACATAATATTGTTAATCAACTATACTCCAATAGAAAATAAAAATATAGAAACTATTTTTTTAGAAAAGAAGGAAAACACACACACACACACACACACACACACATGCAATGCTGACAGAAATGAGGCAGGTGATTTACATATTTGATCTGGCCAGGTATGGGACAGTCGGGAATGGTGGGGACTGAAGCAAAGTAGGCATCATCTTCCTTATCTAAAGAGCAGTGTCCACTCAACTGTAACCCGTGATTACCTTCCAGGCCAGTGTGGACAGAACTTCCAACTTATTAGGAGACAGAAATCTGGATTTTTATTTCTCTGTAAAGCTTTCTACTTTCTGGGGCAAAAATCCTTTAAAAAAGGATTGTAGAGTTTCTTTATGATAGGAACACATAATGAATGTTTGCAATGAAATGATATATCTAGATTAGCTTCAGAACAATCCAGGGGTGGAAAAGGAAGGAGGCTTGGGTAGAGGAGAAGCAGAGAGGTCAAGAGTTGAAACTGAGGGATGGGTGTGTGTTGTTTATGATACCGTTCTCTCCGCATTACACATTTTCTTTGGCAGCAAATTAAAGTAATCCTTGTGCTGGCCAAACAGAAAACACTCAACAGCCCAGTTCTGTCCTACCCTGTGTCCTTGAGTCGTACAACCACTCAGAATCCAGGGAAGCCCCTCTGAGCCCGGTGTGCACAGCTGGCCCTGGGAGATACCCAGTGATGCCAGGATCCCGTTCAGACAGACTGTGCTCTCCATGGACCTTGGCAGAGGTGTCTTTTGTGGCCCCCAGGTCAGGTCTGAACTCTGCCATTAAATACTTTGGTGACGTTAAGCAAATCACAACCTCTCTGCACCTCTGAGTTCTGTTTTCTGTCCATGTCAGTGATTTTGGAGTAGGATCAGCCTGACCCAGTTAGGCTGACCACCATGGTGGACTTTCCTGAAGAAGAATCCCCTTATTTGTTTGTTGAAGCCTCTTAAGAACCTTTCATACCATCATGAAAGACAAGGCTTAAAATATATCCTTCTGGCAGCATGGGCGCCTCCCTCAAGCATATTCACACGAAGGTATAAAGAACTGAACGCACAGTGTGATGGGATGAGGTCTTTAGGGCACAGAAGGAAGGCAGGATGGAGGAAGCCCTGTGTGGGTCATGGGGGCGGGCAGTACAGTTAATCTTAGGAAGTGTGTGTGTGTGTGTCTGTGTGTGTGTGTGTGTGTTAGTTGCTCAGTCATGCCCAACTTTTTGCGATCCCATAGACTATAGTGCCAGGCTCCTCTGTCCATAGGATTTTCCAGTCAAGAATATTGGAGTGGGTTGCCATTCCCTTCTTCAGGGGATCTTTCTGACCCAGGAATTGAACCTGAGTCTCCTTCATGGCAGGCAGATTCTTTAACTTCTGAGCCACCAAGGAAGCCGTGGCTCAGACAGTAAAGAATCTTAGGAAATGATTCCCCCAAAAAGCTTTGTGAGATTTTAATGTCTTAAATGGCATCCTCAAATTCTGAAACACAAGATTATTTCAAATTGAGTATAGTCCTAAAGACAAGATTATTCATAGCTGCATTGTAATTGTAAAGAATCAAAAGCAAGTCCAAAAGTCCACTAGGAAGAAAATAGTTAAATTAATTTGGTGTTCCATACAATGGACTGTATGGAGACTTAATAAAAAAAAAAGAGGAAGAAGGGAACTCTTTGAGAATTGATAAAGAATGATGCCACATGGATTATTCAAAAATGGATGCTGCTGCAAATTTGCTTCAGTTGTGTCCGATTCTGTGCAACCCCATAGACAGCAACCCACCAGGCTCCCCTGTCCCTGGGATTCTCCAGGCAAGAGCACTGGAGTGGGTTGCCATTTCCTTCTCCAATGCATGAAGGTGAAAAGTGAAAGTGAAGTCTCTCAGTCGTGTCTGACGCTTAGCGACCCCATGGACTGCAGCCCACCAGGCTCTACTGACCATGGGTTTTACCAGGCAAGAGCACTGGAATGGGTTGCCATTGTCTCCTCCAAAAATGGGTGGGGGAGGCTATATACATATATTTACTAATTATAAATAAAGCATTATGTAAAAACATTTCTGCAATGATTCATACAAACCATTAATATTGGTTGACTCCAAGGAAGGTAGGGTGGACTGAATAATTATCACCCTCCCCTCTGCCCTACCAACAATGTCTACATGCTAATTCCTGGAAGTTGTGAATATACTACTTTATACAGCAAAGGGGGTTTTGCAGATGTGATTAGGTTAAGGATCTTGAGATAGGTTATTGTAGATTATCTGCATGGGCCCAGGTCCTCAAAGAGGGAGGCAGAGAGGAGGGTCAGTAGTAGCTGTGACAACAGAAGCGAGAAGCTGCTGGCTTTAAAGGAGAAGGAAGGGGCCACAAGCCAAGGGAAGCAGGCGGTCTCTGGCAACTGAGAAAGGCAAGGAAACATTCTCCCCTGAAGCCTCCAGAAGGGAACAGCCTTGCTGACACTTTGATTTTAGATTTTGACCTCAGAACTGTAACAGAATAAATTTGTATTGCTTTAAGCCTGGCTGGCCAAGGACCCCTCCGTGCATGTGTGTGTTGTGTGTCTGTTATCTTAGCAAGAAACAGAAGCACCTAGAGGACGTGGAGGAAGGATTTTTATGTTGGATTTGTGGCCCCACAGCATGGACTCGCCTCCCAACTCCCCAAGCTGGCAGCTCTGATGTTGACCAATTCACATGACCTGTCTGCACCCCAGTTCCCACCTCAGAACGGTGAGACACTAGCGAGGCCAGCCTGGCAGTGTCCTTAAGAGGATTAGGTGAAAGGCTAAGTGGAAAGTCCTTGGCTGGAAAGACTTGACAAGGGTAGCTGTCTGCATCAGGATGGCTTAATCCTTCTGCTGGGTCCAAACTAGGTCTCAGCTCTTGGCCATGCCTGAAGGCTGAGGATCTTTCCCTCCTCTTCATATCCTTCCAGAAAGAGGAACCAGGCCCTACAGGCCAGGGGTGGGAATTCCCTTTCTGGAGACCCCGTGTCACAGAGACCACCCAGCCACACCTGAGCAGGGGGCTCACCCGCAGAGGGCAGCGCTGCTACCCGTCTGGTGGCCTCCTTTCCTTGTCTTTGTTATCTCATCATCCCATTTCCTCGAAGCCATGCAGGTCATTATTGGTGCCGTGCTTACAGATGAGGAAACAGAACAAGAAGGTTGCCTAACTTTCCCGAAGTCACACAGCTGGGCAGTGAAAGAGACAGGTTTGAATCCCAGCACCCACACTCTTAGCCCTCACCCGGGCCGCTTCTCACGGTGAAGCCCTGACCCTCCTGGACCCAACAGTGAGTCCTGTCCTGACTCATGGCTGCTGCCCTCCTGGCCCTCTGGGGACTGAGCCAGATGAGACCAGAGGGGGGCATGGGCGAGCAATAGGGGTGCTCCTGAGGCATATCCTAGAGGCACTGACTCAGCTGACCGGCCGGGCGGGTGACCCTCATGTTACACTCGGGAGGAAGTGAGGTCCCGCATACTAGAGGTCACTGGGTGACCTGGGGGCGGGCGGCCACGTGGGTGGACAGTGCTGCTGGTCCCTGGGGGCTGCACCAGCCTCTTTCTCGTCCAGACTCCGAGGCTCTGTTTTGCCTCTCTGCTGTCGATAGAAGGAATTTCCTTCTAATTTCAAATCTTTGGCTTTTGAATCCAAGGATTAGAAAGGAAAAATGTGTCTTCAGAATAATAAAACGTCAGGGCCTGGAAAGGGCTCTGGGTCCCCCATCTGAGGAAGAAGGAAACCTAGGTGTCACGTCCTGACCCCAAGGTCACCATGGAGGCACCCTCTGGGGGGGGCCCAGCTTCCTCCAACCCCAACAGGAGCCCCCCAAAGTGAGCTAAGGGCCACTGGACACTGCCTGGAGCAAGCAGGCCCAGCGGGGCCCCGGGGAGGTGGGCTTGAGTGTGGAGTGCAGCAGTCCCCAGTACCTGCTGTCCCCCCACGCCTCCCCAGGAAGGACTCCATCAGCCCACCTGCCCAGCCTCTCAGGCAGCTGAGGTTGGGAGAGGCTCCTACTGAAGGACCAGGCCCAGGACACACGGAGCATGGAAACCTCCTGAGACCCGGGCTGCCGCCTGCCTGCTTCCTCCTCACCCAGGTCTCTCTCTGTGGGCCCTTGCTTCCTTGGTCACTTACCATCTGGGGACATTTGACAAGTGACCTCCACCTGTCTGAACCTGTTTTCCGTTTATGACCTGGGGATGATAAGGCTCGCAGGGTTTAAACAAGGCCACCTGCGATGGGGCCTCCACACAGGAGGCAAAGGGCACAAGACACAACCCGTGCACCCCACAGGGCCCCCTCTCCCCCCATAACTCCCCAGAGGGTCCTTCTCAGATATCCTTGACTTGCCCTGCCTTACTCTCTCACCCTTCAGGGAGCAGACATCTCCTCAGGAGGACTTCCCTGCCACCCCCAGACTCCTATTAATTCTAAACACTTCCACAGTGAAACAGACACCTTTCAAGCTCTTTCAGTGGGCTACCTCGCTTAATTCTTCCCCCAGCCCTGGGCGGTGACCTGAGGATTATCCCCATTGTATGGATGCAAAATTGAGGCCCAGAGAGGTAAAGCAACTTGCTGGACGTTGCAAGTCAGTGCCTGCTCAGTGGTTTAGTTGTGTCCAACTGTTTGCAACCCCATGGAATGTAGCCTGCCAGGCTCTTCTGTCCATGGCAATTTCCAGGCAAGAATGCTGGAATGCGTTGCCATTTCCTCCTCCGTCCCCTCACCCAGGGACGGAAACCACATCTCCTGCATTGGCAGACGGATTATTTACCGCTGAGCCACCTAGGATGCTTGTGGTCACCCAGCTAGTACGTGGCTGAACCCAGGGAGGCCATCTTCAAGGTAAGTGCACTTCGCTTCCGAGTTGGGTTGTTAGCCTCCCCAGAAGCCCTGTGTACCTCTCCCTTCGTGCAAAAAAAATTATTAATAATCTCTTTTCTAGTTATGATGTAGGCCCTTCATCCCCCGCTGAGCATCTAGAGCAGGATGGCACCCAGAGAAAACTCAGTAAACCTTTGCTTACTGAATCCTGGTGATGCTCATCCACTCCAGCCCTGGGTGGTGCTAGAGGGATGAGACGAGCTCGGAGCAGAAATTCTGTCAGGATCACGCCGGCAGGTGTGTCTGCCTTTCTTGTGTTCTCATTTGGATGCCCCCCCCCCCCATTTCCCTGCAAGAGCTCCTGTCACCTGCAGGAGCTGTGACACCTGTCCCTCCCCTCCCCCAGCTGAGGCCACCCCCAGCCCCGGGAACTCACTGGGTTTATGTAGGAAGCCTGGGCACCACCAAAGGCCATGTCTCCACCACCTCTGTAGCTGCTGGCCACTTCGCCGGCTGGCTTAATGAAGAAATAGAAACCTAAGCAATCTGGCAGCTATTCAATGGGGAGGAGCCCAGGGCAAGAGGAAATGGGTGGCGACAAAGAGCAGAGGATAGAAGCGGATGCTCCTCACTCAGTGTTCTCTCTCCTCCCTCTTTCCTGTGCTCCGCTCCAAGTCAGAAGAGGTTCCAGAAGTTCATGTGGGTTCAGAGAGCCTCATTGCATGCACACCACAGCGAGCTTCTAGGAGACGCTGCCCCTGCTGTTGTGGTTGTGTCATGAATGTCCAGACAACAGTGGGGCTGCTTGGCACAGCCCATGCAGACTGGGGCTGCCTGTGCATGGGGTGGCAGTGGTACTGGGAAGGCCTGACTGTAACCATTTTTCCAGGTATGGTAACAGAGGCTCAGAGAGTCTAAGGGTCATACCTAAGGTCACACAGCTCATTAGTGGCAGTCTGAGCCATCTGAGGCTACTTGGTGGTGGTGGTGTTCAGTCGCTCAGTCATGTCAGACTCTTTGTGACCCCATGGACTGCAGCACCCCAGGCTTCCCTGTCCGTCACCATCTCCCGGAGCTTGCTCAAGCTCATGTTCATTGAGTCCGTGACGCCATCCAACCATCTCATCCTCTGTTGCCCCCTTCTCCTCCTGCCCTCAATCTTTCCCAGCATCAGGGTCTTTTCCAATGAGTTGGCGCTTTGCATCAGTTAGCCAAAGTATTGTAGCTTCATCTTCAGCATCAATCCTTCCAATATATTCAGGGTTGATTTCCTTTGGGATTGACTGGTTTGATTTCCTTGCAGTCCAAGCTACTTCCAAGAGTTTTCTCTGGCACCACAGTTCAAAAGCACCAGTAGGGTCTGGAAAAAGGTATCCTCTCCTTTAAAATTCTATTCCTAATGTAAAAACATTATCATGTTGGGACTTCCCTGGTGGTCCAATGGCTAGGACTCTGCACTTCCACTTTAGGGCACATGGGTTCGATCCCTGGTCAGGGAACTAAGGGTCTGTAGCCACTTGGCATGGAAAAAAAAAAAGAAAAGAAAAACATAATCACGTAGAAAGAAATGTCTTGCAAATATAAAACCTCATATTGAAGTTTACCATGAAGTGAAGTGAAAGTTGCTCAGTCATGTCCGACTCTTTGCAACTCCATGGACTGTAGCCTGCCAGGCTCCTCTGTCTATTGACCTGTTCAGGCCAGAATACTGGAGTGGGTAGCCTTTCCCTTCTCCAGGGGATCTTCCCAACCCAGGGATCAATCCCAGGTCTTCCGAAATGCAGGCAGATTCATTACCATCTGAGCTATCAGGAAAGCCCAAGAATACTGGAATGGGTAGCCTATCCCTTCTCCAGGGGATCTTCCCAACTCAGGACTTGAACCAGAGTCTCCTGCATTGCAGGCAGATTCTTTACCAGCTGAGCTACCAGGAAAGCCCAAGTTTACCTTAGCATTGTGTATAATGATGCCCCAGGAGCTTCTGACCCTTTTCTCTACCAATTTCTCTCTCTCTTCCCTCTCCCTTAATTTTGGGCTTTAGAATGGGGAGTGGGTAAGTCTCAGATATTCCAACTGACATGGATACTGGGGCAGTATATTGAATAAGCTGTCTTTAATTGGCTCCACCACCTTGTGAAAGGAAATGACTGAAACAGAGACTCAGGATCAACTGGATTGCAGATGGAGATGCAGAGGAAAGACATAGCAACAATAGTGTTTCTTGAGGTCAAGAGGGTCCCCCACACCATGTGGCAGAGACAGGGCCCAAGGGTCCAGGCTGGACAAGCAGTTGAGGGTCCTACAGGAACCAAGTGGGGAGCAGGTGCTCCAGGGTTGCTCCCTTCTTGAGCTTCAGAATTTGCAAAGACTGACTTCTTTGAGATGTTCCCATAGACTGAGACTGTATACCTTCTCTCTCCCCTCCCCATCCTTTCTAGATTCCTGGATCAACTGAAACTTGACCAAATTTAAGGGGCAGGGGCAGGGGCATGTGGCACAGTTGGAACAGAAAGGAGAAAAAGAAGGGAAAATTCTTTGCAATTCTCTTCAACACCAGGGACAAGGGGACTGTCTTCTCATTGGCTGGGATATGGAGCAACTGGAACTCTCATTCACTGCAGGTTGGAGTAAAATACAGCAGCATTGGAAACTTGTTCGTGGATCATAATAAAGTCAAACTTCTACTGCTCCCGTGTCCTGGCTGTTCTGCTCCTAGATATTTACTTGAGAGAGATGAGAGCATACACATGTGTGCATAATGGCTTCACTCATCATAGCCCATACTGGAAACAATACAACTGTTCCCCAGCAGGAGAAAGGAAAATTGAATGGTGATATGCCTACAATGGACTGAAAGCAGAAGTGTTGGCCACTCCATTGTGGCCGACTCTTTGCGACCCCATGGTCTGTATCCTGCCAGGCCCCTCTGTCCATGGAATTCTCCAGGCAAGAATACCAATGTGGGTTGCCATTCCCTTCTCCAGGGGATCTTCCCAACCCAGGGATCGAACCCAGGTCTCCTGCATTGCAGACAGATTCTTAATGGTCTGAGGCACAGGGAGGCCCTGCAGTGGGCTGCCCTCAGCAATGAAAAGGGCCTGAAGATACAAGCAAGTTCATCAGTGAAACTCACAGTTGAGCACAGGCCGGGAGCATTCTGATTACATAAAACCCAATTTCTGGTCGGAATAGTGATGACCTGTGGAGGGCACCAGCTGAGAAGGACCCCAAAGAGTCATCTGGGTGCTAGAAATGTCCTAGAGCTTGACCTCAATGGTGGCCACACAGCTGTTTGCAACATAAAAACTCATCCAGCAGACTAGGGTCTGTGGATTTACCTGAATCGTATCTCAATAAAGTTCTGTTTTTATTTTTATATATATTAAGAGAAAAAAAAAAACCTCCCAGGGCCCAGGCAGACATGGGGACAGCTAGAGTTCCAGGAATTACTCACTTTGGCATTGCTAGGTGGCTTGGAGGTGAGTCCCAGGGAGTCCATCCCCAGAGAAGAGCCCAGGGTCCTCTGCTCCTGCGCTGCAGGGAGCGGCAACAGCCAACACGAAGGCCAATGGGTTTCCAGGTGATGGAGACAGTGGGGAGGCGTCTCCGAGACCCAGTGCCTGGCACAGTTGACCTCAGCAGCCTGGCATCACCGTGCGGTCATGAGACTTGCTCCCAGGGCCTGGCTTTGGTCTTAAGAAGGTGAGAGGCAGCCCTCAGAGCTCCGTTATTCAAAGTCCAGACACTTGTTGGAGGCTCTCTGTTCTCTGCATCGTAGAGGGCAGATCTGTTCTAAATGTGTCGGCCACCTCACACTCTTGAAAAACCAGAAACTGACAAGTATTGATGAGGATGTGGAGGAAGGAGGCCTTTTGTGCTATGGGTGGGAATATTTAATGGGGAGGTGGTGATGGGAAATGTAGTATATGTGCTTGACCCTAAGGGTCCAGCATTAAGCCTCTGATTGTCAAAGCATCCATTTCAAAGACACCCATCTTGTGTAAACGCATCACCAGCTATATGACAACTTCTAAGTAAGCACCCAATTTGGCCTCACCCATGACATTCTCCTTCCTGGGAAGCTTTGGGGTACCTAGATAACCATGTGTGGGGCCCCACATGTCTCTTCCTGCTCCTTGGTCCCTGCTTAACCACGCTACCCTTGGACCCTCATAAGGGCCCCCACTCCCACCTCCCATTTGGACGATCTCCTTATGTAGCCCTCAGGACTTGAGAGTAATAATCCTTGTTTTTTTCAAAGCTCCCAGATGGTTGTTGCTGAGCTGCATCCTGTAATAGTAGTGAGAACCACAAGGGCCAGTCCAGCCACAGCACTGGCTCCAGCTGGGCTAATGACCTGGGGGCTCCCACAGGTTCTAAAGGCCCACGTGGGTGCCCCCAGACGTTCCTATGCTGACAGCATCACCATGCATAGGCTGAGACGGATGTCTCATACTGTACAAAACAGTATGGAGGTTCCTCTGAAAACTCAACATAGCATTACCATATGATCCAGCAATTCCACTTCTGGCTATAAACTCTAAAGAACTGAAGGCAGGGACTTGAGGAGACGTTGGTACACCCATGTTCATGGTATTATCTACAACAGCCAAGAGACAGAACCAGCCCAAGTGCCTATTATGGATGACTAGATAAGCAAAATGTGGTCTATACATACAATGCAATGTCATTCAGCCTTGAAAAGGAGGGCAATTCTGACCCAGGTTTCAGTATGTATGAACTTTGATGATGTTGAGGAAGGAAGAAATTATCCTCTACCCCTCTAGGTTCATCTGGCCAGTCTAAGAATTAAATTGACAGGAGACAGATTAACAGGAGAAAATCTAACAAAAGTTTAACACATATACATGGGAGAGACCCAGAAGAACTAACTCACCAAAATGGTCAAAGCCCTCACCTTAAATACCATCTTGAGCTAAGACAGAAGAGGATGTTGAGGGTAATGGTTGGGATTTCAATGAGGAAGAAGCCAGATAAGAAAATGCTTGGTAAATAGGTGCTTGCTGGGTGCAGATTGGACTCTGATCTCTACAGGGTGCTGGGTGTCACCCAACACACCTCGCCCATGTTCTGTAAATATAGGTCACGGCTCTATTATTGGAACAGGTCCTTTATCTCCATTCTTTGCAGCAGTTGAGGGGGAATAGCAAGAGAAACTTCAGGTCTTCAGTTTCTTAAGAAGATTCAGCCTCAATGAATCCTCATGCCCAAGTGACACATTTTGGGATGACAAATTTTGGTCCCCTACACTGTTTTAGTCTTTCATCATTTGCGAGATGTAGCATATTGCAGGTCTTATTTGATATGATTGCCATGAACTGATTGAGCTAAGGCTGGAAAGCACTTAGTTTGGCTATGACTCACCAAACTGAATCCCAGTTATCTTCCATCAGGAGATTTGACACCACTAGGAGCAAAGACTCCCCTTTAATCTCCTTGGAAAGGACTGTACCAGGTCGTCCCAACTACCCAGATGGCAGTCAAGCTCCAGGGACTTGAACCTTGGATACACATCTC